ATATGAAAAATCTCATTTTTAGGTCATTTTTCATTCATTAAATTCACCAATTTTTAAACCTTGAGCTATGAGTCTTTCCAATCTTTCATGGTCACTTTTATAGACTCAAAATGTCATTTGGAGCAAGTTTGATGTTGTGAAGTTTTCCATTTGAAGCTTCCTTGTATGAGTTTTGGGCATAGGCTTGAAATGACCTGTAATTCTCAGATGACCAAAATACCCTTTGCTTGCCAAGATCATAAATAGAGTTCCACACATCATATGAAGGCATACCATACCATTCTAGAAAGATAAGACAATGAGGAACAATTCTTATGTTTACCAGAAATTCATTTGAAATCTCCTTGAGGGGTAAACATTGCTTGGAAGTCAAGTCACTTTCACAGACAAAATTTCAGATACCTCAGATGACCTGTAACTTGCAAGGACCATAACTTGAGTTCTATACATTTCCTTGATGTCTTCCACCACTCAAATTAAAGGTCTTGAGATCCTCTACAAGTTTCATGTTGGCCAAGGATCCATTTGAAGCTTGCATTTTGACTTATCTTGCTTGGAAGTTTGACCTAAATCAAGGGATTTTACACAGAAACCCTAATTTAGAAACTCCTCTTCTCCTTGATTTCTCTTGATTTCATCTTAACATATCACCATATCCTCATTTACATGTCAAATGATGATCCCCACATCTCTCCAATAGCCCTTAAAGCCTTTCAATCAGTCAATTGACCTAGGGTTGACCTAGAGTTGACCCAGATGAAACCCTAGTTGACTGCCTTCAACTGTAACTCTTGTGATCATATCAATGACTTGCCTCCTTCTCCAGATGACTTTCTAAGTCTTCTATGATGTCCACATACTCTCCATGATCAGCCCACAACTCACAATTTCTTTGATGATCCCCAGATACCCTCAGATAGGAGATAGATTGCTTGCTTGATCCATTGACTTCTTTAGCTTTCCAATTCTTTCTGATGACTTGAATGAGATTGAATTTGAATAATAACCTCTTGATAGGCTCATAGAGATGAGAATAGGGCTTGGTCCCTTGTTGGATGATTTGCTATGCTATGCTATGCAGATGATTAGATTATGTACATGGACCCTATATGCAAATGCTAATGATATTGAAACATAAACCAAGTGAGAAAGGTTGGGCAAATTTTAGGGTGCAACAGGGTATAAGTAACCCTCACAAGGTCATTTAACCCAAAAAGTTGTAAATTTGAAAAAAGAATTTTTTTTGATAAAGACAAAACAAAACAAAAATACCTTCCCATTGTCAGTTGGTTTAGAGGTATCTGGTACTGAACTCGGTAGGACGGATTACAATCCGATCCCCCGCAGCTGCACGTGAGCCAATAAAAGGGGTTACACCACTTTGTGCACCAAAACCCCATGCTTAGATCAGAATCACTAACCGATCACTTCACCATGATTTCGTACGGATAACGGGCTTACTGTGATTGCACCAAAATGAAAAGGACTCAAAAGGAGATTCGAAAGTAGGCCTAAGTACAATAGGGTAATATGGATTGACTTATGTAAGAATGAAGCTTATGTCCGTTTTTACGGAGAAGTGTCATTCCGATACCCATGGTTCATTGAGTCATCACACATCGCTTCATCCCAGCTTGAACTTATAAGACCTTTTTTCCCAGATCATTTATGGATATCGCCCTGTTCTGTCATGATGTTTTGCTTGAGGACGAGCAAAGGTTTTAGTGTGGGAGAATTTGATAGACCTAAAATATACTATTTATTTGACTCGATTTCGCGCACGTTATTTAGTATTTTATTTCTGTTTTCTTGTATTATGCCTTTGTTTTGTTTCTTTTTTAAGTTTTTGTATTTTCAAAGCTACTCGAGAAGAAATGAAGAAAAACGAGCTAAAAACCCTACTTTATGAGGAATTGTACACATGGCTTCCACCATGGCGGACGCCATAGGGGATGCCACACATTGGATAAAAGCCAACTGCTGACAACTGCCACGTCTCTCACTCTTTTCCACCCTAGTTCATGTGGCGGGCGCCACAAGGAGGTGGCGGGCGCCACCTTCACACGATCATTTCCCTCCCAAAAGGAGTTGGGGGGCATTCCTGTTTTTACCTGTACTTTCCTACCACTATAAATAGAAAAGTCCTGTTTCATTTCAAATCATCCAAGCTTAAAGAATAGAACTCAAGCCATAAATTTCACCTATTGTAAAGTGATAAACTTCTCACATCGAGGGGTTATCACACTGTGTAATCGAGTCTGTAATCGAGTTTGGAGCACTTGGGTAGAAGTTAATCCTGCTGCCATTTTATTTCAGTCTTTTTACTTCCAGTTGCACAAGATTTTAAAGCCTCTCATTTAGAGCAAGTTTTATTTATTTACCCGCTTTTATTTCTCACACCCTTTATTTCCTTTTATTGCCTTTATTCCCTGTCTATTTATTGCCTTTTATTTGTTTACCCGCTTTTATTTCTCACACCCTTTATTTCCCGCACCCTTTATTTCTCGCGCCGCACTTTATTTATTTACTTACCCGCACTTTATTTACTCGCATTTGTTTACCATGTCCGACAAAATATTAAGGGCTAGGACGCGATGATTATAGTTATAATTAGTATTCCACACGATTGTCGGTAGAATTACTGAGGGGTTGTTTTAACTTTTAACACTTATTTTCTGTACTTAAAATCTGTTGGGTAAGATCGAAAGCCGTCCAACCTTTAGATAAATTTGGTTAGTTTTGACTGTTCCAAGGAAGCGAAAGCGCTTGGCTCATTCAATTAGGGATCTTTAATGTTTAAGAAAACTGATTTTAAAACTGTTTTTGGACGCGTTTATGGATTTAAAGTCCGGTTCGCAAGAACCTCATTTTGTTAGAAATTACAAGTTAAAATACTTTTCGACTAAGTCAAGAAACTATATTTCTTAAAAATAGGTTTATTAATCCTAACGTAATGCGCACCTTTTTATAAGTGACAATAAGATGGGTCGATTAGGGATAAACTCGGTTCTAAATACGCGAAAGCAACAGTTCCCGTTAAATTAGTTCTTTTCATGAGTAGAGAATATTACCCCATAAGGAATCCTATATGTACACATCTGGAATACTACGTAGCTATATGAATTGCATCTATGCCTGTTGCTTTATTATTGAATTTATTTTCGCACTTTACTTTTATTTCGCATAACCCAATCCTTTATTTGATTTACCTTAGATAAACACCGTAACAATAATAATCAATAGATTGACGTTTGGTCTCTGTGGGATCGATAATCTTTAACGTTAAAAATTCCCATCAACCGCAAATGCCGAGACATGGTCGAATCATTTTATATAATGGATGCAAGAATTCGATAGATTGAAAAACATTAAAAAGGAATCGAATGCACAAAAGTCAAAGGAGGTACCACCTATAGATTTATCCGGTGACATATGTTTTGATTTTTTTTTTGTAATCGGACAAATAATTGTATATAAGTGTGTTTCAATATAAATGAAGTGTTACATATTCACTTATTATTCATATTTGGTCTTAATGCATGTTTGGTTCATATTTGGTGCATATTTGGTCTTTCTCAACTCTTTGTCATATGATTCTGTTTTGAAAATGTATCAGGAAAAGTTCTGGAGATGTATCTCCGAAAGATTCTTTTATTTGCTTTGTTTTTGAATGGTTCAGGGAAAGCTTCGAAGATGCATCTCCGAAACAAGATAATGGGGTGCCGTTCCGGAGATATATATCTGGAGTATGAATGATAGTCAATGAGTGATCCTTATTGAACTAGGTCTTCTATAGATTTGGGTGTTCTTGTGTTACACTTCACAAAAACTTAAAATGTCTAAAAGTGTGAAATAAACATCCGTTGGTATGTTGCAAGTGTCTCCTACTCCGACGCCTCTACGCACAGGATGACGTTCAAGCTCACCGATCTCACCCCTCGACGATATCATAGATGAAATCCACCATCTCCTACCGTACGAAGACACACGAAGGGTTGTCAAGTTTGAGTACCGTTCACCCTCGGTTGACAACGAAGGGAATATTGTGTTCAACAAATATATTCTCAAGACTCGAGCAGATGTTATGGCAATGTGGCGAACGTTTTTCGGTTTCGAAGAGAAAGTTCCGCTTGAGTTGGAGGCGACATTGTGAAGATCAGTCGACGATATTTTGCAGATGTGCAAGCGTCTACCATAATATTGAAATGTAGTATTTAATTTTCTGTTGAAATTTATTGCTCATTTTATGTTACAAATACTCATTTTATATTTGAAAAGTTTATCTTGTGTTGATTTCTATCTTTGGTTTTGTTTCGGAAATATAACTACGGTATGATTCTGTAAATATACCTCCAAAATAAATCTTTAGCAATTGTATGAAGCGCCATCTAAATTGATCTTCCTTAAATGTGAAGTGAACGTTCAAAAATATATCTCAAAAAATTAGGGGTAATATAAAAAAGTGCATAATGTTTAAAAAGACACATAGGTGTAATAAGAAATTCTTTTATTATTATAATAGTAGACTCGAGTTAGAGACGATATAATGTGAAAAAAATTGGCCCATCACGGGACCAATAATATACATCCTCAATAGTCCCAAACTATAATGACCACAACACCAAGCAAAAACATTACTACCTTTCATCTTTTCGTAACCCTAACTCCAAAACCAAAACTGTCTCGTCATTCTTTATACACGCCTCTTTTTTCTTTATCTTCTTTCTCTTCTTGTCGATGCTCCGTCTTGCTCATACCAAAGCTCAAACGGGGAGGGTTCCTTTGTTAATTGCTCTCTCTTTTTCTCCTCTTCAAACCCTTTTACCCTTTCATGTCTTCAATTACCGCCTCTTCTCTTCCAGGGTCTCCAAAAACCCTACTTTCTGATTTCGATTTCCCTCCCTTCTCTATACACAACAAACATTCTCCTCTCTTTCACACTCTTCTATTCATATTCAATTTTACCTTATTGCCTCTTCAACTTCCATCTCTTCAGCAACATGAGCAATTCTAAGGTTCCGTTCTTGCTATTATAACCATTCTATATTTCTCGCTTATTTTGTTATTTTCACACATGATGTTTATGTGACATTGTTTTATTTATTTATTTAAATTGATTGTTGTTTGTAGAAAATGAAAACAACGTTATTGTTTTGCAAACAATTGGTCCAAGTTTATTTATTTATTTATTTTTTAATTTTAATGTTCTCTTTCTTTGAGTTTGTTTTTTCATTTGGATATCCTATTTCAGTTGGTAGTGTGAATGGACGTCTATAATGGTTGTGACCTGTGATGAATGCCTTAATACCTAATTAGGGTTTTGTTATTATTAATCTTTTGTTGTTGAATTTGGATGTAATGTTTTATTTTTGATTCTTTTTGTCTTTTATTGGGAATGTGGTACATATTGTTTTATTTTTTTGTTCCAAATGGATGTTGAATTGTTTTAATGCCTCATTTATGCTAATTTTGTTTTTGGTTTTGTGAGCAGGTTCTACTATTTGGCTCATTCACTGAAGATGAAACCAAATCACTGAGGGTAAAAAAGTCTTCTGGGAGAAAAGATAAGTCTGTTGACAAGAATCAGCTGCAATTTGGTTCTCTGAATTCTGTTACTGTTAAATCAAGCAACCTGCCAAATTCAGCAAAAGCACCCAAAAATGTTCCTCTCCCTGATTCTCAGAAACTTAATGGTGTGAATGGTGTCGGTGCTGACTTACCTAAGGTACACGAAACTATAAAAGAGAATGGCAGTATTACTAATTTCTCGCCCAATCCATCAAGTATCACTAGTGCAAACAGTGTTAAAGAACCTCATATGAGTTCTGTTGCACTAGATAGAAATGGTACTGCGAACAATTTTGCAAATTTGAGTCTGGATGCTTCAGGGACTGAAAGTTTGAAGAGTTCCTTAAAAAATGGCAATGATGATGATACTTCAGAGTTATTTGATAAAGACTTGAACAAGGCACCTAATGGGCATGCTGTTATGCATGTCAAGGAACTGCTGCCTCGAGGCTTGATTAACTCCGGGAATTTATGCTTTCTTAGTGCAACCATGCAGGCTCTCTTGGTTTGTTCTCCTTTTGTTCAGCTTTTACAGGAGTTAAGAAGTCGGAACATTCCCAAGGTAGTATGTAAATATCAGTTAATACTGCTGTTAAAATTTTAGATTAACTCACGGGCAGTAGCATGGCCATCAATGAACACAAATAAAAGCTGAATTAAAAATTTTATATTTAAAATATAAATTTTCTTATAGACATTGGATCGTTGTATGTGTTTTGACTTCCCTTGTAACAAGAAAAGATAAGAAATTGATATTGCATGCTTATTACCGTGTAACTTTTTAGGTTGGCTATCCCACACTTAAAGCATTTGCTGAGTTTGTAACTCAATTTGACATGCCAAGCGGAATAAAATTAAAGAAAGATACAAATTCTTTTGAGTTTGGACGGGCATTTTGCCCTGTTATGTTTGAAGATGTTCTGAAAAATTTTACTCCGGATGTGCCAAATAGCATTTCAGGAAGAACAAGGTTGGTGACAATTTGGTTTATAATTTAATGTTACTTTTGTGTGACTTTTTCTCTGCCATAGAAGATGAATTTTCAAATATGTCCATCCCCTAACCAGTTTTTCCATCGAATCATTGAATTTCTTGACTACAATTAGTATATTTATGGTTATGTCATGAAAACCTATGTGCATGCTAATCATTAAATTTTCTTTGAGCATATATGGTGACCGTTTTAAACTCTAATCATTACAAGCATAGTTTTTCTGCATGAAAATAACTAAGAAATGGTATGCTTATAAATCTTCAGCAGCATACCTATACAGGGACTTGATTGTAGTTTTCTATACAGAAAATTACAATTGTAGCACCCCTTTAGGAATTTCCATTTATAGATACAATCTTCAATAGACTTTCTTCTTTTTATATATTTCTTTTATTTATACAAGTATACGATTATTTACTGTCCTGTCCTGGAATTTATATACCCATTCAGCAAGTTATTTGGTCATTTGTAAGTGTGCAATGCAGTCACGTGCTTAGGTCTGATGTAATTGGTTGTGATATTAGCTTGTAATTTAATGACATTCGTGATAACAATGTGCCACTTTCAGGCAAGAAGATGCTCAGGAATTTCTGAGCTTTGTTATGGATCAAATGCATGACGAATTACTGAAGCTTGAAGGACAGTCTTCAAGTCTTAATGGTAGCAAATCTTTTCTAGTTTCTTCCGTGGAAGATGATGAGTGGGAAACAGTGGGACCAAAGAATAAATCTGCTGTTACAAGGACTCAAAGCTTTATTCCCTCAGAGTTAAATGATATTTTTGGAGGACAACTCCAAAGTTTGGTTAGAACTAAAGGTACAAGATATGCCTTTTATATCATATGCTTAGTGAAAGAATTCATTTTTTGTCTGTATTTATTATAATATATCCATTAAGATGTTGTGAAATTTCATCTGGTCTGTCTGTCACTTTTGTTGCATTATTTTATGTAGTTGTGACTTGTGTTTTTGAAGTTCCACGTTATTTTCCCTCGCAGCAGGTCACCTTCATTGCCATTTTATATCAGAGCTTCAGGATAAAAAGGAAAAATATATTGAGCTTATAGTTGATAGCTTATTGCTTATATATGACCAAAATAGATCTGTGTTTAACAATTTTTCCCACGAGGTTATGGTTTTTTTACTATCTTATAGGATTTTTTTTCCTAAGCTACTTAAAGTTTGAGCTTATAGCTTATTTTTTTTCTCAATTTTACCTTTGGTACCTTAATCAGAATTATCTTTTTATGTCTTTTCATAATCATCAGCTAGTTCAACCACTACATATTCAATCAGTTGGCTAGCTTATTCACTATTAGATAGTTGATGTTTTCTTATCAAACAGAGCTTAAATGAAAACAATCATGCCCATATAATATGATGGAACTTTTTTTCCCTTTTCAGGAAATAGATCTGCCACTGTTCAACCATATCGCTTGCTTCATCTTGACATTCATCATGATGCCGTTCACACCATTGAGGATGCCTTGCACTTGTTTTCTGCACCAGAAACTCTTGAAGGGTACCGAACATCAGTCACTGGAAAGGTATTTTCCCTTTTAATTTTATATTACATTATTATTAAAGCTAGCTTTTGGTGAGTGGAATATGATGCATGCATGGGTTACCCTAAAATTAGTTGGCATTTCCTACTCTCGGTTGTTAGGTATGTAGCACACACATGGCCACCTATGATGCATAGGTACGGGTACGGTACCATGTGCGGTACTGGTACCGGTACGACATATGGCATTTTAAAAAAAATCAAGGTACGAGTACGCTAATAAGAAATAAGAGTTTTCTATAAAATGTATGAGTAGAAAACTAAATTGTTAGGTTTATAATAAAACACCACTATAAAAAATTGAAAAAACCAAAAATAATGTTAAGATACAGGAACAAAAAAAATTAAAACACATAATTATACTATATTGATATTTGAGAAAACCACAAATTTCATTCAAAACCGAATAATGAGAAAAAATGAAGTATCACGAGTACGTATGAATACCCGGTACTGGTACTTTACCATTTTAGAAGTACACATGCTTCAGAGATTTGGCCACCAACCTCAATTGAAGTTTTAGCTCTATCCTAAAAACCCAGTACCTGAATTCAGGCATTTATATGCGTGATGATACAGTCAGTGGAATGGCAACTAATTTCAAAATGATGTATCTGCAATGCAATTTAATGAGGCCAATGAAATGGTGGCGACATTGTAACTACTGTGTTGCCTTTTATGGTCTTCTTTTCTGCATACTCCCCACAGAATAGTCATTCCCGCTGATAGTGGCTCTATCCCAGGAGAGCGGCGGCGGCGCGGAGGCCGGCTGTGATCAGAGCTGCCATAGAAGGCGCAGTTCGGCGTCGTCGGTATCTCTAGGTTTCATCGCTGGTCGCGTTTGGAGTGTTTTCTGGGTTGATTTTTCTATTTCGCTTTAGAAAAAAACCTAAATTATCCTTTAAAATTATAACAATATAAGTGTTGTTTGAGTTTTTCCAGTTTTATTCTTCCAACCTTTTAACCCTAGCTGTTCCCCCCCCTGGTATGTGTGCGGTTCCCAGCTTCATCTTCTTTTCTTTCTTCATTTTCCAATCCTTCTGTATCTTTTCGTTTCGATTCTTTTCCTTCTGTTTTTTCCCTCATTCTGTTTTACCCCATTTCTTTTCCTTCTTTATTTTTTTCATTTCCTTTCCTTCAGTCACTCTTCTTTTTCTTCTTTTCTTTCTCATTTCCTAATCGTATTCCTCCTTTTTACTCTGTTCTTCTGTTTCTCAAGACATCTGAGATTTTGATAGTTTTTATTTTTAATGAAACCTTCTGTTTGGATTTAGAGCACTGCTAAATATTACTAAGGAGTTTCACAAGAATATAATTATCTACTATTAAAAAAACTATTTTATATATTTTTGATAGAAATCATGGTCTGCATGCTGCTGTGAATTAGGTGTTCTTTTTTGGGTTTTGAGTTATTCGTGTAATTTTACATGAAATTAATGTTTATAGTATTATTTATGTACTTTATTAAAAAAAATCAAATAGTGGTCATTCCGCTGATAGTGGCTCTATCTCAGGAGAGCGGCGGCGGCGCGGAGGCCGACTGTGATCAGAGCTGCCATAAAAGGCGCAGTTCGGCGTCGTCGGTATCTCTAGGTTTCATCGCTGGTCGCGTTTGGAGTGTTTTCTGGGCTGATTTTCTATTTCGCTTTAGAAAAAAATCTATATTATCCTTTAAAATTATAACAATTTAAGTGTTGTTTGACTTTTTCCAGTTTTATTCTTCAAACCTTTTATAACCCTAGCTGTTCCTCCCCCTGGAATGTGTGCGGTTCCAAGCTTCATCTTCTTTTCTTACTTCATTTTCCAATCCTTCTGTATCTTTTCGTTTCGATTCTTTTCCTTCTGTTTTTTTCCTCATTCTGTTTTACCCCATTTCTTTTCCTTTATTTTTTTCATTTCCTTTCCTTCCGTCACTCTTTTTTTTAATTTTTAATGAAACCTTGTGTTTGGATTTAGAGCACTGCTAAATATTACTAAGGAGTTTCACAAGAATATAATTATCTACTATTAAAAAAACTATTTTATATGTTTTTGATAGAAATCATGGTCTGCATGCTGCTGTGAATTAAGTGTTCTTTTTTGGGTTGAGTTATTTGTGTAATTTTGGGTTGATAGAAATTAATGTTTATAGTATTATTTATGTACTTTATAAAAAAAAAAATCAAATAGTGGTCATTCTGCCATCCCATTTTCGGGGTTGGCCACTACACTCTGGATTGATTACTCTGACATCCCAGTAGTAATTTGTAATTTTATGGCGTAAGTTGAAATATTGGTTATTGTCTTATTGATATGACATAACTGCTTTGTACTGGACCATGAAATGTCCTATGATTGTGCTGGGTATCGATTGTGCTGGGTAGTATCATATGTTTGCCAATAAAATTTGGGTAGTATCATATGTTTGCCAATAAAATTTGGGTAGTATCATATTTGCCAATAAAATTTTGATATTTTATTTCAGGCGAGGACTGCAAAAAAATCTATACAGATACAGACACTTCCTAAAATAATGATATTGCACCTGATGCGATTTGGTTATGGAAGCCAGGGAAGCACCAAGTTGCTTAAGCCCGTGTACTTTCCTCTTGAGTTCGTATTGGGTCGTGACCTGCTTGTTTCACCATCTACCGAGGTAGTCTCAATATTCCAGTCCCTACATACATTTTGAACATAAATCTAAATAACTTTCTCTAGGATTATGATGCTAAATGCAAGCTTCCCTTCCATTGCTAGAGTACAACCTGCTTTATTCTGAATGATGCACTTCTACTTTTGTGGGAATTAACTTTCCAAGGATTGATTTGTCAAGACTTTTGTTAATTTTCTTCACAAAATAATTAGGATAATTTTTTTAAAAAATAACATGACTTATCTTTGTTATCATTGCAAACAGTCGCTTAGATTTATCAATGGTTTGTTTATTCCTATACTGAAAATAAACTTTTTTTTTTTTTTCACAATTTTTTCTTTCTTCTATTCTATTAAGATTGCTTTTTATTTTTATTTTTAAATAATATGACTTATCTTTGTTATCATTGCGAACCGTTCACTGCCTTTTAGTACTCTGGAAGATCTAATTAAAAATATGGTAAGGATGGATGGCTGTTTTTCTTGTGCGTTTCTCTTTTGTATTATAAAAAGAACTTAGTAGCACAAGGGTAGAGCAGTTGTCACACTTAGAAGTTACTTACTGTTCTTAAACAAGTATTTCAATGACTTCATACCACATGTTTCACCAAATAAGAGTATTTATTTATTTACTGTTTGTGAAACTTATTTATTTATTTACTGTTTGTGAAACTTTCTGCCGGGCCTGCTGACTTGTTAACTTAAATTTGTTGGCACAATTAAGATTATTGGCTTTTGTTAAGCAATCATCCGAGTCTTTAGAATGAAAAATTAATAAAATCTGCCAGTAGAGTTTTGCCTGCTCAAGATTCAAGTTGGTCAAAATCCAATGCAGCCTTTCAGATATCAAGGATCTATTACCAAAAAATTTAACGGCCAGTTGGCTTTTGTGAAGACAAAAAAAAAAGTTTGTGAAACCAATATGATTTATCATTGATTGTCCTCTAAAATAGTACATTTTAACTAGACATCGGAGACTTAATGGTTATAATTTGAAGAGGGCATAATGGTTGACTGACTTTTATGCTTTTGCAGGGTCGAAAATATGAACTCGTTGCTACAATTACTCATCATGGAAGGGAGCCTTCAAAAGGACACTACACAGCTGATGCTCAGTACCCCAATGGTCGGTGGCTACGATTTGACGATGCATCTGTCTTTGCCATTGGAGCAAATAAGGTTCTGCATGATCAGGCCTATGTTCTTTTCTACAAACAGATATAAGCATATACATATTACTCTGTTGATATCGACTCCCTTTTGCACTTAAGAAAGGGTTGACACTGATGATTAATCTATTGAATAGAGAAGATGTGAGTGATTATTAATTAAGGGGTGGTCATATATATTTAGGGTGTGATAAGAGAAATTGTTGTAACATTCTATTTCTCGTTGTCATCTAAACCATGATAAGTTTTGTTGTCCTATTGTAAAAAGTTTGACTAGCTTGCAAGAAATTGAGATTTAAAGCTTTGACTTGTTGATTGTTGATTTTGTACTCACTGTTTCTGTTACGTGTAGGCTTAGTACATTGTATTTTGTTAAAGCTATTATTCATATTTTTTTTGCTGATTATTATTAAGTATATCCTTTAACAGTGCAAGAAGCAGATTTAAGCAAATCTCACACATTCATGTGTTCAAATGTGATTCAAATTAGAGTTAGTTGAGTTATTTACTACACAACTCGTTTCTCTCTTCCTTTCTTGTGTTTGATCAATAAGTTTGAAGTGGAATCTAAATTCTATGCCTCGAGCCTTAGGTTCCGAAATTGTTTCAAGATTCAAGTGTCCGTTCATTGATCTTGATCATTGAGTGGAGATGACAAATTCTATAGAGAAACTTGATCATTTAATTGGAATATGTTGTTTTATACAGGTTGATGAAAATTTCATTTCCTTTATTTATTAGATCATTACTAACTATCGTAGGCCTTGGATTCAAATGTGCTTGTTATGTTTGAAAATTACTAGGTGTACTCCGGTTCTGTCTAATGTGCGAGAGATTGATAGGTCTCATGAGAGACCAAATTTTACATTATTTATTTTTCGTTTTTTTTAAAAACAATTTACCAGTGGTTATTTAGATGGAAAGTTTGTTATCTATCATTAATCTGACAGATTTGCTCACCTTGAACTTTAATTCATCAACAAAAAAATTTGACAAGCTAACAAAGTACCAACTATATATATTCAGCTTCACAAGTTGACAGAGCAACCACAAGTTGCTTCTTGAAATATTAATAAATCAAGGCTCCTAGATACAAAAACATGTAATCTGTAGTGCATCTTCTGTCTACTTTGTCTCGACACCAGTCAGAGTCTGAATAGCATATCAGCTTAGCATCATGTGATACTCCAGATGAAAACAAAATTCCATGCCTCATAGTCCCTTTTTACATGCCTCAAAATCCTGACTGCAATATCAGCTTAGCATCATGTGATACTCTAGATGGAAACAAAATTTCATGCCTCATAGTCCCTTTTTACATGCCTCAAAATCCCGACTGCAGTTTGGTAATGTGATCACTTTGGTTTACTTATAAATCCATTTACCATTTCCACTACATAACATATGTCAGGTCCGGTGTTACACAAATATCTCAAAGAGCAAACCAACTGTTTGAAGGTTATAACATCTATATCCTCACGATCAGCATCATAATCTAGCTTATGATTTGTCTCAGCAGGAGGTGTGATTGCTGATTTGCAATTCATAAGCTCAAATCTCTTCAATAGATCAAGTTCATACTTCAGTTTGTGCACAATGATTCTCTTCTTCAGATTCCAAGCCCTTGGAGCTTGTCTCAACCCGTACAAGGCTTTATGTAGCTTGTACACCATCCATTCTTTGTTCTTTTTCATAAGTCCAAGAGGTTATAACACATCAACATCTTCTTCCAATAAACCATTCAAAAAGCTGATTTCACATCTAAATGTATCAGGGGCCAATTCCTATTTGCAGCTATAACAATAACCAACCTTATGGTTTCATGTCTAGCTACAGGTGCAAACACTTCAAAATAGTCTAAATCAGACTTTTGTAGAAATCGTCTAGATACTAACCTTGATTTATGCTTGGCAAATGAACCATCTGACTTCAAATTCATCTTGAAAACCCATCTCACACTAATGACTTTCTTATTCTAAGGTAGAACAATCAATTCCCATGTATTGTTTGTTTCAATGGCCTCAAGTTCTTCCTTCATGGAATTCACCTACACCTTCTTGAGAGCCTCATTGATGTTGACAGGTCCAAAGTCTACCATCATGACACTCTGTATGACTTTCCTTTCAGAGTCAATCTCAGTATCTTGCAGCAACTCAAAGTCTCCAAGTTTCATTTGTATCTGTATAACTCTCTGTGACATCTAGAACTACACAAGTTCACCTTTAGAAGCATGAATACCTTCAAAAGCTCCACCTTCAGAGGTTGGACCACATTATGAGGCAGTATCAACTTCAGAGGCTTGATCACCTTTAGAGTCAGGTGCACCATCAGAGTCAGAGTCACCTTCACAGTTAGACTCACCTTTAGAGTCAGACCTACCTTTAAAGTCAAAGTCACCTTCAAAGTCGGAATCACCTTCACAGTCAGAGTCATCTTCAGTTTCAGACTCACCTTAATAGTCAGAATCACCTTTAAAGACATAATCTTTTTTAGATGCAAAATTAGACTCTAGCGTTGACACTTCACTAGAGTTGGATTGATAATTTCTCCAATCCCATGTTTCTAATTCTTTCACTATGACAACTATCCTGCTTTTAAATTGTTAGTGATTGGGCAATATTTCTTATAAGCACATGTGCAATGGTAACCTATAAGCAACATGACTCTACTTCTGTCATTCAATTTCCTTTTAGTAGCATCTGGTATATGTTTATAACATACAAAACCGAACACCATGAAATGGCTAACACTTTGCTTTCTTCCATTCCAATTCTCAATAGGAACTAATTCCTTTAACTTCTTTGTTGGACATCTATTGAGCTCATATGCTGATGTGACAATTGCTTCACCCCACAATGTGTGAGGTAGATTATTCTCTTTTAGCATGCTCTTTGTCATGTCAAGTGTAACGCTCATTTTAATTATTTAAGTTTTCCAGTGTTATTTTATATTCGGCGTGCTTTTGTGGGAATTGTTGGAGAAACTATGGTCCATAATATTAAAATAATATAATTGATAATAAAAATAATATGATAATTAGTAGTGTCGTTACTATTATTATTATTGTTATTATTATTATGTTTAATAATATTATTAGAAATATTAATTTTGGAATAAAAGAAATGAGGATTATTATTATTGAAATTATTTGAAACTAAAGGAGAATTTGGGGTATTAGGGGCAGAAGTGACATTTGGGATAAGAGGAAAAAGAGAAAGAAGCACGATCAAAAGAGAGAAGAGAAGAACACGGTAGAAGCACGATCAAGAGGAGCAAGAGTGAAGGAAGCAAGCTTGAGGAAGGAGAAGATCAAAGCTATCAGATTTTTGTGTGGAAGTTTTACTTCGATCAGAGCTGCGTATTCAAGGTAAGGGGGGAGAAAATAGATGGGAAATTGGTAAAATGCATGAATAAAGGTAGTTGGGGAGTCCTTAACCCCATAGGATTGATGATGATGATTTGCATGTTGATGATCAATATGATTTTTGTTTTCTGTTTGAATTCTGTCATGGAGAACCATTGCATTTGATTATTTAAAGTTGGTTGGGGTGAATTGAGTGTTTCAGAGTAGGTTATGGTTTTAGGCCGAAAGTGAGTTAATCAGTAGAAGTTTATGTAGGAAGGAAACCCATAGAATACTCATGATTTAGTGGATTTTCGAGTTGGGTAAATACCCTAACATGTGGGGATTGATTTTGGTAGCAAAGAGGGAAGAGTTGATAAAAAAATACAATTTTCTGCATAATTTTTCGAAAACCTATAGTAAGCAATCGATTGCACCAAGTGAGCAATCGATTGCACATCAAAACAGTGGCTAAAATGTGAAAAATTGAGTCAAGCAATCGATTGCACTAATACAACAATCGATTGCATGCTGTTTAAAAGCTGAAAATTAGAAATTTCTGTTCCGACGATTTTGGCCATAACTTTTAATCCGTAAGTCGGTTTTAGTCCCCGTTCGAAGCGTTGGAAAGCTAATGAATAGATCTATAACATAGTATAGACAATATATTTAGTTTCCAAATATTTTTATATCCAATATGTTTGGGAAGTCATTGTTTAATTAAATAGTAACTAAACCATGGATCAATTGAGGGAGGTTCTGTTGTCTTGTAGTATTTCTTGAGTTGTGACCATCATAGATATGATGATTATTGGTGAAGAGTGTATACTTAACACTAAAAGGTGAGATTATGTAGTGATCAAAGTTAATTGGAATAAGCAGATTGAGTTGTGAGACATGTATGGTGTTTAGGGGTGAAGAGCGTATATTTGGTGTTGAAAGGTGAAATTATGGAATATGGAATTTAATTGATGTAATTAATTGGTGGATAATACATATATATGTATATATATATGATGCATGTAACACCCATTTTAATTATTTAGTCATTTTATTATAATTTTAATTATTAGGTGTTGGTGTGCCCTTTGGTGGGGTGTGTTGGATGATGATTGGTGGGTGTCCCTGATATGGGAGGATTATTGGTGGTGTTTTGATGTGGATATAATAATATAATAAATAATAGTAATATTGATGGTGATATTATTATTATTATTATTTTTATTATTATTATTATTATATTTGTTATCATTATTAATATTATTATGACTTTTGGTGAGTTAATGTTATTATTATTATTATTATTATTATTATTATTATTATTATTATTATTATTATTATTATTATTATTATTATTATTATTATTAATAAGTGTTATCATTTATATTAGTAATATTATATTAGTATTACTATTAAGATTATTATTATTATATTATTTTATTAAGTTATTATTATTTTTAAGATTAGATAATTAAAATAGGGAATGTGAGGGGTTAATGGTTTTTACGATACATTTGGAGAGTTGGGAGAAAGAACGAGAGAAGTGAGAAGAGCATAGAACGGGCAAAGGAACGAGGAACAGAAGGGAAAGGAGAAAGCCAAGAGACCAAATCTAGGAGGATTTCCATCGATCAAACCGATTAACAAGGTAAGGGGGGAAAAACGGACTGGGATGGTAAAATACATGAAATTGGGTAGAGGGGATTTCCTTA